ACTGAAACGAAAGCATTTAGAAGATTTATAATCCTTTTGGATAAATTTTAAATAATTTTTTAATAAAATATACCATTATACCAGATTTGCCCTTTTACTTTTTTACATATTAATTATGTCTGGAACATGAGTGGGCAGATTAAGGTGAGATTTTAAACCATTCTAGAATTTCCATTTCATCTTTTCCATCTATTTTTGAAAATTTTTGTGTATCTCCTTATTTTTTTCTAATTTCTTCTCAATTTACTCATCAATTTGGTTTACCTCCTCTTTCATTTTCTCTAGGTAACTCTTCAGATCATCTTCATATTTTTCCATTCTGTTTTGAAGTTTCAAAAAAAATTTTTCTTTTTTTTTTTGAATATTATCTCGTTTGGTTGTGTATTTTCTTGTATCTAATTTGCAGTTTGTTGCTTATTTTTTTCTTTTAAATTATGTAAAGCATTTCGTTCTTCTATTAGTTGCATTTGACTTGCTTGTTTTTATAAAGACCTTTTTGTCTTTCTGCCAATAATCTATTTTCTTCTGTTTGTGTTTTCATGATTTGAATCAATTGTTAAAACATTGCTATTTCTTGTTTCCTTCTAGTTTCCATCTTTATTTTGTTCTCAGTGTACAATTTTACTGAAATTGTATTCAATTTTGCTTATACAAAAGCTAAAAAAACAAATCTTATAAATTAATCTCACAGGGTTATTCGTGCGCTTCATATCTTCTGTATTGCATGTAGATTCTTACGCCGGCTCCACACATGGAGGCCAACGTTGGCCCCAACAGCGTTCGTCCAATGTGTATACCGACAAGACTGTGTTGGCGCCAACGTTTTTATGACTTGCTCTCCAACGTTGGGAGTTTTCCGTAGTCTGTCGTTTTTTGCGTACACACCAAAGAGATTGGCGCCAATACTGATGTTGCTGACCGCACATTGGCGGTAAAGCAGTGTTCCAACGGGCATATAATTATGCTATTTGCGCATAATTTAATTGTTGGCACGTAATTTTTGCATCCTGCATAAAATTAGGTACCTAATTTTTCACAATCTAGCAATGCAAAAGAAAATAAAACTGACAAACCACAGCTTATACTTTTACTTGTCTTATTTTTTCTTTTATAACACTAGTGCTGCCATTAAATTACTTTATCGAAGAAAATTTACATTCCATGATGGCATTAAAAAACAAATTTACAACATGTAAAAATTGATTTTCGGTCACCTGAGCCACTTCCGTTGAGTTTTTTAGGATTAACACTTCAATACACGTCGGCAATCTGTCGGGGTTTATGCTCAAAAGGCTATTTCTTATATAAACAAATATACATATCTGTACCTTTCAGGCACCCAAAGAAAATGTACTTATCTAAACATTGTACAAAAATATATGCTTTTAATTTTGAAATATAGATTATTTTGTCCTAATAGACCACCGGCGTGTGGTCATATAAATTTTAAAATATGTACTTCCATATTATCGGCTGTGGATTAAGGTCAGGTTTGATGCAGAATATAGAATAGAATAGTAATATGCTTTATTGTCACTGAAAATTATTGAACAATTTTATGAACAAAGCTAAAAAAGTCAGTCAAAAAGTACAAAAAGTATAAAACAAAAATAAATATAATAAAAAAACAGTTCAATACAATTTTAAATTAGTAAAATTATTGTGTAACTTACATAATTTGTACAGACAACAACAAATGAGATAAATTGTAGCCACTGCTTGAGACACCCAAATGTAATTATAAACAAAACTAATTTTGTTTCTTTGTTATACATTCTCGTCTCGAGAAACTCGTCAATTGAATATGGTCTTTCAGACAGATAGATTTTTGTCATCTTACGAAAATTAATGAAAGTTCCGGATTTAATTTCTCTTGAAAGGTGATTATAAAGTTGTTTTGCACTATATAGATTAGAATTCTATTAGCTGAGTGGACGGGATCGGTAAATAAACGTTACAATCCGAATTTCTAATGGAGTAGCCATGATCAGGTCTATCGGGAAAAATGTTTAGATGCTTGCGAATCAAACAAACCGTTTCCAAAATAAATAAAGAGGGAAGCGTCAAAATTCCGTGATTTTTGAAGTAAGTCTTGCAATGAGTTGTTTGTTTGAGACCAAATAGATAACGAATTGCTCTTTTTTGAAACTTAAAATTAGTATCAAATTGGGTCGCTGTACTAGAACCCCAAAATGGAAGCCCATAACAGATCTTATTGCAAAGCAAGCTGGGGCTAGTTTCTTCCTTAAGGAGTCAGTATGCAAGGACCATTTAAGATCACTGTCGATAAGAATACCTAGAAATTTCACGGAATTAACGATACTGATTTGGCTCCTTTATAAGATAATGCTACTGTCTTACCACGTTAAAGATAAGTAAGTTGGAGTCTGACCAAGCCTTGATTATAAGCAAATCAACGGTTAAAATTGAATGAAGCGTTGAAATATTAGAGTTGCTCCAAGTAATACTGGCATCATCAGCAAATAAAAAAATGTTCGCTTTAATTTTCAAGTAAGTGATGTCATTAATGAAAAGTAAAAAAAGAATGGTACCTAATACTGAACCTTGCGGTACTCCACACTCAATATTTTTACAACTAGAGTCGGTGTCTTTTATTCTAAATAATTGTTTCCTACATACCAAGTGAGTTTTGAACCAATTCAAAGACACACCCCGAATTCCATAAAAAGTTAGTTTTTTTAATAGAATGTCGTGAATTACGCAGTCAAAGGCTTTGGAATAGTCGCAGAAAACGGTGGCAGAGGAGAGGTTACTATTTAGTGATAGATATACCTCATGTCGAAATAGAAGGCTAAGAAATTTGGGAATTGAGTTAATATAAGAATAAATGGAATTCAGGGCCTCGACGTCAGGTTTACACTCATATATTCAATCTGCCGTTGCTAAATACCATTTCTAAAGATCTAGTACCTTTAAGTAACGCTGTAGACAAAATAATGTAAAATTCGCCTTTTTTGTAGCAAAATATAATCATATGCACTCATTATCGCGACAGTCGCAACCGCTGCAATTTCCATGTCGGTCATGTTGACGTTGGCCCTAGAGGTAACAGACTGATATCGCCCCAATACTCAACCCAATGTGTGGATGTCTCACCGAACGTGGGAACGTGTATCCCATGTGGCCTTATAAGCAAGTTGGAAATAAAAACCCAAGTATAAAAAAATATTTATTGATATAAAAAAAAAACATAAATATGTAATATACACGAAACAAAAATTTACACTAAGTAATTCTTTGTGAATGCAACAAAATTAATATATAAAGGTCTAAAAAACTACTTAATGACAGTATTATTTCCTATCTTTTAAATAATAATAATAGATTTTCAAAATGTCCACAATAAACTATTAGTAATAGCTTTCTTTAAAAAAAAAAAACTTTTACACGGAAAACTGACTTGGTAACCAAATTTAAGACTCCAGTACTTTAATATGAAAAGTTCCTTTTAATATAAAAAATATACTTTCCAATGAAAACAGTCTATGTTTGATAAAAACCCTCTGATAAAAAAAACGTTTTTCTTACAAAATTAGTTCGAAATATATCAGACTGAAAACCAAAATCGTTTATCTTCCTCAGACCGAATTTAGGGTCATTAAATTCTCGAGCCACTCCATAAAAGAAAAGCAAATAACTTATAGTGTATGTCGAACTCAGCTATCTCAAATCTCTCCAGGACTCCTTTAGAACAAACACTAAAACGTTTTCGTTTTAATCTAATAAATTAACTCTTGTAAAAATTAACTGCTTCTCAACTTTGACAAGCAACTCGACAACCGAGTTCTTAGTTTTTCCTAAGATGTTCTTCTTCCGTCCTTCCCTTATTTTTATCTTTTCGCTTCTCAAACCCTAAAATAATTCCTAGCTAATCCGCATCTTCAATTTTCTCTCTGTCAGACTTTTTCTATCCTACCTATAAATTAAAAACAGAACCATCTCATCGCAATCACACCTTCTGTCTTCCACAAAGTGTCCGTGTAAATTAGAAAGTTATAGAAACTATCCCGGCAGGCCATTCTGGGCTTTCGTGGTATCTTATCCGGATTTTTCTACTCTACGAGAAATTTCTTATACAAAAAATACAAAATAATACAAAAAATTTCAAATTTTGGCGGTTTAGATCGCTACAACATACCTTGTAATTTGTTTGAACAGATATTGTTCATGGCCTTATGTGTTACTTTTTTTACTGTTTGCTTATATACCCTACAGTTAAAAGAGACAGTCGTAATCAGAAGTCTTAATGAGAACCTGGCCGGCGTTACGATTCAAAGATGGAGCGAACCCAAAATTTAAGCGAGACAGGCGCCTACTATCAAAAATTCATTTATTTATTGTGTTAATTCAAATAAAATCTTTCACACTGAGGTTGATTGTTTGAACCAGCGACAGATGTCATTCAGATATTTTTAGAAAAAGTTATTATCTAGAAAACTTACCTGATACTACAATTTGCAAAATTTCGAATATTTGCTTAGATTAGACAATTCTTGAAATAAAAATTGTTCACCAAAAATGCACATAACTGGTTTTAATTTCTACAGTTTCATTTAAAAATCATTTAACAATTCATTAAGAAGTAAGTAAGAGGTATTATATTTACTACTGACATGATTTTAAGGTTCAACCACTGCAGTTATTACTACAGACATTTTAATTTTGAAATGATGATACAAAATGTGTACAACTGCGTACTTTGCTGGTATTTTTGTTGATATAATAAAAGTTTGTTTGTCTCTGAAAGAGTTAATCATTGAAATAGTTTCACTATGATAATTTCGCTAATAGTTTCGCTAATGAAGAAAATCAATTTGATTGTTTTGCTTCATGATAATTAAATTAGAGACATAAAAATGCATTATCTGCCATTTTTTCAAAAATATTTATGTCACAGAAGATATATAAAATAAAAACAAATAGAAATATAAAAAAAATTGCCTTTATTAAAAAAAATCGATAATTATTTTTATTTTAAGCTTTATTATTAAACGAAGTTAAAGAGGGCCAACTGATTATATGTGCTAAAGATGGCGCGCCGAATCTTTGCAGAGCCGTTGTGCTTAAAATAGATTCACCGACAATAGCAACAGTGACATACTTAGATTATCCCGGTGAGGAGAAACTTTCCATCAAATCCTTAAGAAACGTGGATGATTATTTGGCGAAAGAACCAATTTGCTTATTGTTCACACCTGAAATAAAGCTTTTGGACAGTATTAGTGACGTGGGTTTGAATTATATTCAAACATTGATAGAACAAAAAAGTAAAGTAACTGTGGTAAGTTTTTTTTTTATTATTTTAACGGTGAAAATAAGTTTAAATTTAAAAATTTTATACCGAAAAAAGGGACCAAGCATATTTTTATTGAAAACATTGGATTAAAATAAAATAGACTAACTCTCTAACGAAAATAGAATAGACGTCTCTTCTCCTAATAAGATATACATGCCATACGTGTTGACGCATACAGCGTAACTCCTTATTTGTCATTCTGTTAAATCACTTCTACTAGCTTCCACGGCCATCTCAGACATGATTGTGGCGTTTTGGAGTTTTGCAAGAAAGGTTGTAACCTGATAAAGAATTACTAGCTCTTGTTTACCAAAACTATCAGAAAATTCGTACCAGCTGTTTCTTTAAGCCTTGGTACTCACAACAAAGTTACTTTTTTGTACCTCGCCAGTTGTTTAATGTACCTCGCAGTTTCAAAATATTGTGGCTCCTAGTCCTCTTCACACTTCAGGTCCTGAACTATTAGTACTTCAAACTACATACCACGGATATTCAGAGGTCATAGATGTACGAAAACACGTTTAACTCCAATTGTAAAGAGGAAGATCTGTTTTTAAAAAAACACCACCTTTCTTTTCCAAACTAAGAGTTAAAAAATAGATTCTTTCGTAACCACTATTCAAATTTGTATTTTATAATGCATTTCAAATAGCCCTTCACTCTTGGCATTCTACTTTACCACCCTCTTTTTTTTAATTGGTGCTGATATATTTGATGGTGACAGATTGAAGAGATGGCAAGAGCTATTCCTAGATGAAAGCGCGCTCCAAAAAGAAGATACGACCACTTACAGTGAGCCAGATGTAACAAAGGGAGAAGTACTACAAACCATAAGAATATCAAATACAACAAGGCAGCGGGTCCTGACAAAATACCAGTAGAGATAATAAAACTGATAAAAGAAGAAAACATTAGGGTCTTTGTTTATTTATATAATACAATACACGAAATATTCCTAAATATTGTCTGATAACTACTTTTATACCGTTGCCCAAGAAACCAAATGCAAAGGAATATTAAGATTCAGGCCAGTCTGTAGTCTATGGTTTAAATGTGGCTCCATTGAACTATTTGGGCAGTAACATCCAACAAGATGATGATTATTCTCTGTTCAGTGTCTTGATCGTCATAATCATGATTAGCCCGAAAACCTTTTGTGAGCTTGGTCTTGTTTCAGGATTTTCCTCTATTCTGATGTATTGCTTGCTTTGTTTTTAAAGTTGGTAACTTTGAGGATTCAGATCTTGTTCCACTTGTGCCATATATCAATATTTTGGTGTGATCTTTTTACGGCTGGTGTCTGTGATAAAAATTATTTTCTTCGGCATTTCATTTTTCTGCATCTTTTTAATATGGCCCACCCCAAGTTGTAGTTTTTTATTCCATAACTGGTTTTTATACTACAATTTGCCGATTATATTTGTATATAGTTACCATATATTGGTGAACGGTCCATAGGTCCTCCTCTTCCAATAAATAGAGAACCAGTCAAAAAAAATCAAACAAGGAATAAACAAGGCAGCAGAGAAAGTAAATGGCAAAATTCAAAATGAAAAAAGAAATAATTTATAAATGTATGTAAAAAACATTTATAAATGTATTTAATAGTTTTAATCTAATATATAACTTTTACGATTTATTATATTATTTAAGATTGCGCAATTTGCATGAGCTATTATAGTAATACGATTTTCCAGTTGCGTAAGTTCGATAATGAGGTGTTACGTTATTTTTTCTTTAATTTGGAATGAATTTTCCGGATGACCTGATAGTAATTATCAATTACGAAACAGCTTGATAGGAAAACTAAAAGAAAAATATCATGACTAGGAAATGCGGAAATTATATATAAGTACTTTATTAAATTATCTTTGTTATAACTATTATGAAACACATATTACACATATTTGTCTAATATAGACAATATAAATTTAGAACAACCTATCTTAAATTTAAAATTCTTACAATAATTAAATTATATTAACAAAATTTGGTACCTTTCTATCACTGAATGCCTAAATGAAACTGTTATCCAAAATAAAGGGTATAATCACCACTCAATATCTTCTTTATCAGCCTCGGTTATCTTTGTTTTTGTGAAATTGCTTTTTCCAAATATACCAGAATGTTTTAGTTATAAGCTTCTACCAATTTAAAATATTTTTCTTCTCAATAGCATTTATAAATGGGTAAAATACTCCTCTTTATTTACTGTTTCTTCTTTGCTTCTTACTTATAATCTTATTTTTTCTTCTTAATACTCTCCAATCACCATATAGATATTATAATTTTAATATACTTTCAAATACTATAAAACACTGTATACCAGCTGCTTGCACTATTTACTGATCAACTAACTTCTTAATAAATTCATTAACTAACTGTCGAACTTTCTCCTGTTTAACTTCTTAATTAACTAACTCCATATTGTCTTACTGTAACTGTTAACTACATTGAACTGTCTAATCAATGCACTGTCTTACTGTCTAATCCCAACTCTCATACTGTTATACTAACTGTCTAATGAATACTGTGTATGAATGAATGAATCCTTGCTCCAAATTACATCGTATTTATATCTTTTCATCGTTCCCGAATATTCTAGCAATAAACCATGTTCGAATTTTTCTATTTTCTAGATATATCAATGTTCTGGAATCGTCTTCCTAATAGGGTTAAGTTCTTATATTGACGTTTTTCTAGAGAATTCTTTACCCTTCTATCGAGAATTTTATGGACATTTAGGCTTTACAGATCAGAATATACACTTATTTAAACTAAACATCTTAAATTAATACATAATACTATTTTACATCCGTAATTATTATTCAAATATCACTTTCTGTTCAAATTCATTCATCTGTCATTATAATAGAGTGTCAATTATTCAGTGTATATTTGGTTGTCTATGCACATGGCTCACTTAAGTATATCTAATATAATTGTTAAAATAAAACTTTTTACACTTATTATTATTTGCTAATTTCTTAAAAATACCCTCATATAAATATTTTTTATAATATTCTCTAGTCTATAACTTATAAATTATGTCTTTAATCACTATTTAAGTTTATCAATTAAAAATCATAATATTACTATGCTAATTTCTTCTATATCTATTATTATCTCAATATATATATATATATATATATATATATATATATATATATATATATATATATATATATTATTGTGATATTTCAAGTCTTGGTGCGCCAAGCAATTAATTAGCTAATTAATTAATTAATTAATTAAAATTATTTAAATGATATGATTATGACTCTATCACACTTTTTAATTCTCTTATCTCAGGGTTAAATTCGTGCTTCAATATCTATGCTATTACATGTGAAAGGTAAGGTCCAAAGAATACCGGAGTAATAACAAACATATATGATCTAACATTATATATTGAAATAAAAATAATGAAATAAAATTCACACTCAAATGTTTTCAATAAACAATATCTCATATAATGATTCTCAAAATTTTGTTCTACATACGTGAACCTTCAAAATTAATGGTACAAACAATATTAATTGAAATCTCAAAATCCCAAATTATTCTAACTGTCCTAATCAAAATATTTATATCCTTTCTAAATTAAGTGTAAAAATTGTGTTATCAATAAAAGAAAAACTGCAGAAAACAAAAATATCTCTCTCTGATGATGAGTGGTCCAAATCCTTGTTCCTTGTAGACTATATTATCTACTCTCAGGCGCTCCCTAGGTAATCAGCAATCTTACAACAAATTATTGCAAGTTTATCGTCCTTAATGATCTCCTTCAAATGCACGAATCGTTCAAATTATGCTAGCTTCTTCTTCTCTCAATAAACTGAATCTCTCGTTGGCCGGAGTGAAAAATGACTCTTGGAATATCTTTTCTTTACGATAAACTGAATCTCTCGTTGGCCTGAACAGTGACTCTTGGAATATAAGTAGAAAAATATGACTTACAATATTTTACTGGATCAGCTTCTGTCAGATACACTAACTACACGAAAACTCACAAACTTTCACTGCTACTGCTTCCTACCTCTGGGAAACTACCCGAGAAACAACGGCCGTTCGCCTTGCACCTTTGGAAACCAACTGATTATCTTTTCTCTCTCAAAAATCTAGCTAAACTTTCATTCCTACATACCTATCCCACCTTTTTTAATCTCCGCCAATCAAAGCTCGTCACAATTCTCCCATTTTTTCATTTCGATAACAAACAAATTTTTACCTATAATTATAAAATTTCCTAAAACTTATTTACAAATAATATTTTTCTACAATTCTTAAAAACTAACAAAAACCTCTTTCTAAAATCTATTCTATTGTCCTTAATCACTGCATTAATGTATTTGGAAAACCCGGTTCAATTGTCTTTGGATTTCACTTAAAATTATGCGGGTCACTCAAGTATATTATAACAAAGAAAATAATTTATGCATAGCTTACATTTTGTTTAATACAGGCTTCTGTAGAAGCAGAAGCAGTGGAAGACTCTAATAAGGGTATTAAAGTTAACGGCATATTTATTAATAACATCAGGTATGCCGATGATACAGCCATAGTGGCAGATAACATCGAAGATCTTCAATGCCTTTTAAATGATCTAACTCTTGCAAGTGAAGCTCGGGGTTTGAAAATAAATATCAAGAAGACAAAATCAATGATTATAAGTAGAAATGATTACCCCAACGCAAAGATATATGTCTCTGGAGAAGAAATCGAACAAGTCAGGCAATTCAAATACTTGGGATGTTTGCTGAATGAGGGTTGGGACCCCGAGAATGAAATAAAGAGCAGAGTTGAACAAGCCAGAAATGCTTTTTTGAGGCTTCGTAAGTTTCTGACTGATCGCAAATTGGACTTCAACCTCCGATACAAGATGCTTAAGTGTTACGTGTGGCCTGTTCTCCTGTACGGAATGGAAGCATGGACGTTAAAGGCCAGTTCCATTAACAAACTTGAAGTGTTTGAAATGTGGTGCCTGCGTCGAATGCTCAGAATATCATGGACGGACAGGGTCAGAAATGAGGAAGTACTCAGAAGAGCGGGCTTACAGGATAGGGAACTTTTTAATTATGTAAAAAGTAAGAAGACTGCATACTTGGGGCACATTCTACGAGGAGAACGATACACTTTTCAGCAACTGATACTCGAAGGGAAAATAGAGGGTAGGAGAGGTCTCGGACGTAAAAAAATGTCATGGCTGCGCAATATTCGACAATGGACAGGAATCCACAGCTATGAAATGCTTCGCAATGCTGCTAAAAACAGAATTATTTAAACCAGAATATGACGCCCACGCAGAAATGCACGGCACCTTAAGAAGAAGAAGACAGGTAATCCAAAAAATTTAAAGACTCCTTCTTCGAAATGTTTGTTGGGTATTATCCTACTTATCTGAATTATTTTAATGTTTTTGAACTTTGAAATATTTTGAACAAACCAATATTTTTCTCGATTTTACATATCATAACAATATATATATATATATATATATATATATATATATATATATATATATATATATATATATATAGTCGGTCTAGCGGTATTTATGAGCTATCTGTGTTGAAATCAGTAGGTCACATTTCACATAATTTAGCAGTAATATGTCTCTATGAGTAAAAAGGCATAGATCTACCTATTTTGCTCATGTCTGCCTTATATTACCGCATTTCTGTATGTATGTATTATTTAATATGTCCTTAACTTTTTCTGTAGTAAAACTATTTTTTGTCACGTTAAATTCATTTTCTAAAACAAGTTAAAACAAAATTTAGGATATATTTTTAATTGCAGGCAATTTCTAACGACGATTTTGATCTGAAACTGGAAGATGGTTCGTGTTTATCAACGAAACTTTTGGAGTTGGAGAAGCCAAAAGTTGAAATTAAACAAATTAAGTCCTCTGAAAAAGAGGAAAAATCTACGGTGGTAAAAGATAAAGAGCCAGCCAGAGAAACAGGTAATAATAATTAAGTATACTTATAATAGTTACAATCTTTATATATACAGCAGAAATTCGAAACAGGTATTAATTAGTATACTTAAAATAGTCACAATCTTTATAATATATATATATATATATATATATATATATATATATATATATATATATATATATATATATATATATATATATATATATATATATATATATGCATGCGCATGAATCATAGCTGTTTAGAAAATCAATCAATCAATCAAGTACAAAATTACGCTTCGCCTCTCTTAAATCAACCGTTTTAAAAATACCGCCATTTGATTTATGAGACCAAAGTGAATTGATCGACACCGTGTACGTTTGTCCAGATTGTCCAATAACAAGGAACATCTCCAAGGAGCACAACTAGTAACTAACTAGCAACTAAATGTAGTAAAACCGGAAAAGCCAATGGTCCAGTTGAGGTGCATATAGAGATATTTAAATTTGCGAACAAAGAAGATATCTCTATGTTAACCAGACTGGTCAATGAAATCTTAAGTCCTGTAGGATTCCACAAGATTGGTTGAAGTTATGTTCTAAAAGAAGAGGCTTAATGAGTCATGTTCTAAAAATCGTGCTTAAAATAATTCATTTTCGAATTAATAGAAAATGTGAAATGAACTTAAATGACGCACGGTTATCTGTTTTATTACAAAAATGTAGAGGTCAGCAAAAAACGTGTATATGTTTTTCGACAATGAGAAGATTATTGATAAGATTTAGATAATAACGATATTCAATTCTTAAAAACCTGTATTGGGAACAGAGAGCATCCGTGAGGTTAGAATAAGGCTCTACAAGATACAGACAAGGGTATAAAAATAAACGTTCCAATTAACAATCTGAGGTATGCAGATGGCACTGCGAGTATTGTTGATAACACATAAGCCCCTTAACAACTAAACTAGTTGATGCAGGAAGGAGATCCATTGGGCTTTGAAATACCACCAAAAAGGGAGATAATGGTTATTAGTATGCGAAATAATCCATTATCTGGCGATAGAATATGCAGATAACAAATTTAACAGAAACAAGTTTGAATACTCAAGTGTCTGGTTATTATCGAACTTAGATCCTGATGTAGATGTTAGATCACGAATAGAGCAAGCAACTATCATTTAACAAAACGAAAAATCTATTATGTAACCAGTCACTCAACATCAACTTACGTTTACGTTTCGTTTATTGTTACTTTCATTTAGTTTTCTTATATGATTGTAAAACTTGGACGCTCAAACTAAATACCTAAGTGTCTTTGAAGTCTTAAAATTTCGATTTACAGAAGCTCTTGAAAACCCCTGAACGGATCATGTTCGCAAAGAGGAGGTTCTTCAAAGACTTAATACAGGAAGAGAGTTGATTTCTAATATTAAAAAGAGAAAAACTGCCTACATTGGTCATGTCAAAGGCATAGAAGTTGGATAATATAAAAATATAAAAATATAACCCAAGGGGAAGTTTAGTCTTGGAATTTAAGTTGGACGAAGAATTCCAGGTCTAGATACGTTTACTACGGAAACCGGCACTCGGTTGTTTTGAATGACACAGCGGCTAGCTTTGAGACGTGAGTGTACATATCGCTTATTAGCAAGGGAGATAGTGAAGTCAAAAATAATAAGGAAAATGAATCTTACTAACTGAAAGAAAATAGGCAAACATTCAACAAAATAAAGGAAAAATGGGCGCCACCCTGTCTTTTCTGTCAGGGACACGGAAAATTCTTAAAACCGAAATACACATATAGCCAAATAACAAGAAACAATCACACTCACCTTATATTTTCATTCAGCAAACCTGTTAGCAATTATTTATACAGATTGAACGAAATAAATTCGGAACATAGGAATATAATGTATTTCGGCTCAATTCTGCTGTAGGTGGTTGGCCAACAAAAGATTGTCAAATAATTATATTATAAAAATCCCATACTTCAGCGGGCTGCTGGATTCTGAACTCATAAAAATTGAAAGCTACACATAAATCTACGATTTTATTATGCTGTCAAACCAGTTATAGTCCAGGAAATGAAGCATTTCACCTCGCAATTATTTCGTGCTGCGTGGATTGACTTGAAATTTAACAGAAGGTAGGTAATAGCCTAAGGATAAAAATCTATATCGAACCAAAGTGCGCCAAAGCCTAGGGGGTGGTTGCCACCCCATCTCCGGAATGAAATTTTTTTTTACGTTTTAACTACAGGTTTGGATTAAAAAAGTGATTCTAAACAAAAAATGTGCTATACATTTTTTTTATAAAATGATATTTTTCAAGTTATTCGCGATTGAAAGTAACAACTTTTAGACGAAAAAATCCACGTTTTTAATCGATTTTTCGCGAATAACTCGAAAATGGTGCATTTTATCAAAAAAATTGTAGAGAACAAATTTGTAGCTTTTAAAAAGACATATACAATTAATTTTTAAAATGTTTTTGCGATATAATAGGAACCGAAATACGGCCTATCAATGTTCAGCGGTTTTCTTCAAATGCCAAATTTGAAAGATTCAAGGTCAAATATCGGGAAAATGATGCATTTTTGGAAGAAAACTCACAAAACCTTTTTTAAAGAGCATAATTAGACCTATCATAAAAAAGACTCTAGCTCAAAAATTGAGTGAGTTATGATGAAAATAAGGTCAATACCTCATTTTTTACGAAAAAATTGATGAAAACAACTCCCTAACCACACCCATAATTAAAATCGATCTTCACCCTTCTGCAATTCCCTTTGTACATGTAATGTTAATACGTCCAAGAAGTTTGACTCATTTAAAATGCTTAGTTTTAGAAAAAGTACAGCTTAAAGCGAGAAACGATTTACAATTTCATATTTTTTACCCTTTTTTTTTAAATATGCCCGAAAATACTGAATATATGAAAAAAATAAAAATTACCAAATTGAACCTTTTTTAATGACTAAAATTATCCTTTATTTAGATTTGTTGTACAATGAATATTTGGCGAGATATAGCCGTTTAAAGCATCGATTTACTATCAAGCACCATCTTTTTCGAGCCCTTTAAACTCACCCCATTTAAAAACGAAGGGTTCCAAAAAGATTTAATTCACAGATCCTTGTAGCTCTTAAAAACCTCTACAAATCGTTTTTGAAGAAACACTCTATCGGTAAAAATTAAAGGAAATACGTTAAAAAAACCAGTCAATTTTTTTCCGGAAAATTCCATTAGTATAGTACAGTACATTTCGGAGCATAATAATCTACAAAACCGGTATAATAGGTAGTGGGGCGTTATACATTCGAAATTTTAAGCGTTCTTATTTTGAAATCCCATACAACAGAATAAAACATCTGCTCATATGTCTATGGCTTGGCAATGAAAATATCAGAGCAACAGATTGGGGATGGTATTCCAAAGATGGTTTGTTATTACCGTACGCATGAACAAACAACCTGCACCCGATGAACTTTTGAAAATTATTTTTTGCCAATGCAAAAAAGGATGCGGCGTTTCATGTGGGTGCCGAAAAGTTGGTTTATATTGTAACTCTACTTGTTCTGGGTGCTCAAGTGAAGGGTGCAATAACAGTCCACCAATAATTGGAGAAGATGAGGATGACATAGATCACGATGAAGATGTAATTGATGACGAATAAAATTAATATTATAATTGTTTTACCTATAAATGTAAATATTTTCAACTATTTATGTAAATGTATAAGAATATATGGTGCCTTTTTATGTTGATAAATTTTTTTTGTATTCAATTTATATCTTATAAATTAGTTTATAAAAACTGCAATGTTGTAAAGGGTGATTTTCAAAAGTTGAAAAGTTGAAAAATTTTGGCAAAAAATTGTTTTCACCTATAGCACTCATAACAATTGTTTTTTAAGTGCTGAAAATGTATGAATTTGTATTTTAAAGTATAAAAAAATCACTATTTAACTAATCCAAACCAAATTTCACTCATCTTAAGATTTGTAATATTATTTTACAATTTTTGATAATTAGGGGTAGTTTTCACCCCTAAGAACAATCAGGGTTCGTCGACATGACATAAACTATAAAGCAGCGGGTGAATTGAGCTTAAATCCAAATTTTTATCCAAATCGATCCAAGGCGAAATCATTTTTTTAGAATTAGTAATTTTTTTACATTAATCTCTAACAAGGGTTGCTTTTTAAGGGTTGAAATATGATGGAACTCTATTCAAAAGTATAAAATAATCATTATTTAACTAATTCAATCCAAATCTTACCCATATTCAGGTTTAATATGTTATTTTATAATTTTTGACAATTAGGGGTAGTTTTCACCCCTAAAACCCTTCAGCGCACTTCGGTTCGATATAGATTTTGATCCTTGGGCTATCACCTACCTTCTGTTAAAATTTTAACTGGATACATGCAGAACGAAAAAATTGCGAGGTTTTAACTTTTTTCGAGCTTCATTTCCTGAACTATTATCGCTTCCTTGGACAAACCCGTCTTACGCGAGACAGATAGTTGAACGGTATTTTATACAATGTCTATACCCCGGTATGGATTTATTTTTGTCCAAGTTTTATATTGGTCCACTATTTCAAATGCAGTTCAAACAGACATGTATTAAATTGTATGTTCCGTTTTAATTTGGTTCAATCTGTATGTGGTTCAAGAGAAAAGAAAATTGTTACAGAAATCAAAAATACAATGTTGTTGCATACAGCTATATTTATTATTGGCCGAAACATAGATTCAACTGAACATATTTAATTTACATCTTACAAACAGAATTATCAATTACAATTTGATACCTTCTTACTGCTTTATATAATATTAAAAATAATTTCTCCCGGTGACCTAGTAAAAATATTTGTGTTAATGATAATCTACGGAATGGAAGCGTGGACACTGACTGTTGCATCTATGAATCGGCTCGGAGCTTTCGAAATATGGTATTATAGGCGTATCTTACGTATATCCTGGGTTGACAGAGTTACTAATGTGGAGGTCCTGCGTAGAATTGGGAAAGAATGTGAAATTCTCATGACCGTCAAAACTAAACAGTTGGAATATCTAGGACATGTAATGAGAAATCAAGAACGTTACGGCCTTATCCAGCTGATTCTCCAAGGGAAGGTAAATGGTAAGAGAGGACCAGGAAAAAGACGCGTTTCCTGGCTTCAAAATTTAAGTCGTATAACACGACTACCACTGAACTGTTCCGCGCTGCAGTAAACAAAGTAAAGATAGCCGTAATGATCGCCAAAAGAAAGACTTGTTAAAAAAATGTAGTCTTTTCGCTTCTTTAAATCCACGTTAAAATTTAGTGTTATATAAAAAACAATGATTATTCAATATTCAAAAAAAAATTAGGGGATATACACCATTCAAAAACATTGTCAGACTACACTGACACTAAGTAGATAAAATTTTAGGAGAGAAAAATATAAATGGTAACAGTTGTTTTCCCCCGTATAGATCACTTAATTGAAAAATTTAGTATAATTATTGAATATGCTATTGCAGGACACATAAAAAGTATAAACTTTAAGTGACTTGTCGAAGCGTTTAGCTATACCCGCTGCAGTTAAGGATGACTCATTCTGCACTAAATTAATTTTTACTTCTCGTTTCGTTTTTACTTGCTGGATCATTACATATTTTGATTTACCTTGTACTATTTCATTGACTTTATACTATCACCAAATAACACGACTGCCAAATATACATCTCATCTCCAAAGATGTTCAAGATCTCAAGAGAGAATGAATTTAAAAATTCGTCTCTGCGAGGATAACTCACACAACTTTAAATATCCAGTCGCACCGGCTTTTATCAATGTAAATGAATGATTCGATTTTTCGAATCTACGCTCTTAAAACGCAATTACTACAGAGAAAATGACACAATTCGGTAATTAAGACTTTATTAGCAAACACTCATAGTATGTATTTTCGTTAGGAATTCAAGTATTTCTCTTTTAAAGATTTGTAATACGTAGTATTATAAACTGCCTTATACCGGATAGAATAAAAAAATTTCTACAAGAAGAACATATCCAGAAAGATAAAGTCAAGCTTCATCTGAAAAAATACTTTCGTCATAAAAAAATTATTGTTTAAGCCAGATTTAGCCATACGGCTCACACTCCCTCTAAGGGGAAAATTCACTCATCCCAGATACCTACGGTATCAAAAGGATTGAGCTCTGGTGGGACTCTTTCCATGTTATCGAGTCCTAGGTGACTTGGTACGTCGGTGTATCTCCTAAAAATTTTCGCACGCATCTAGACGTCGAAAGTAGCACAGCTTTCTGCATGACCTTATATAGATGTTCATTTAGACCCAGCTTTTTTATGTTTTCTAGGAGGTTCTTCGGAATGACTCCAGTGGTAGAAAGAATAATCGGTATCGTCTGGGTACTTTCCATTCTCCATTGTCTTCTTATTTGTATTTCCAGATCTCTGTACTTGGCGATCTTTTCGTTGTACTTAACACGCAGATTATTGTTGTTAGGTATCGCCACATCGATTAGAGTTGTTTGTCTTGTTAGTTTATTAACTAGCACGAGATCTGGTCTATTATATGCTACGGTTTGGTCTGTGAGCACAGTACGATCCCAGTATAGCTTGTAGTTGTTATTCTCAAGCATACTCTCTGGAACGTATTGATAATATGGGAGATGGTTTGTTTGTAGAAGTCCCAGTTTAATAGCTATCTCTTGATGGAGGATCTTCCCTACTGAGTCATGCCGTTCCTTATATTCAGTTGCAGCAAATGCCTGGCAGCCTCCGGTAAGATGTTGGATCGTTTCTTGGGCTTGACATCCATATCGGCATTTGTCGTTTTGGACCTGAGGGTCTTTGACAATATATTTCAGGTAATTTTTGGTTGGTATAACCTGATCCTGAATGGCGAGTAATGAACCTTCTGTTTCAGGGAACATCTTTCCTGATGTCAGCCAATAGTTCGACGCTATATTGTCGACATAGTCTTGGCTGACTTCATTCGGATGTCGCCCGTGCAGAGGTTTACCCATCCAGATGCGCATTTTTTCGTTCTTAGTAAGATGGTTTATGCGCATTTCTTGTTCCCTCAGGTTGATCGGTGTTGTGTCATCTACTGCGCAAATCGCGCGATGAAAAGTAGAGGTCTCCGCCTGCACCTGAAAATAAGTTCTTAAATTATTAATCTGTTTATCTAATTGCTCGCTTATATCAATAAGTCCTCGTCCTCCTAAATACCGTGGTAATGTCGTTCTTTCTACTGCACTTCGAGGATGGTGTTTTTGTGCCTTTGTGAGGTGTGTTCGTACTTTTCTCTGAAGACTTTCTATATCCGTTTTAGTCCACTTAATAATGCCAAATGAGTAGCTAAGCGCGGAAAATGCGTAGGTGTTTAATGCCTTAAACAAATTTTTACTATTAAGATGTGAGCGGAGTAGCTGTTTTACCCTTCGTATGAACTCTGATGTTAATTCGATTTTCATTTGTTTATGATCAATTTTCCGCGCTTGCTTTACTCCTAGATATTTATACATGTCATTTTCGCCCATAGCCTCGATGTTTTGGCCATTTTGCATGTCGAATCCCCCGGGCTGAACCTTTCCCTTGACTATATTTAGTACACGACATTTGTCTAACCCAAAGTGCATACTAATATCATTTGAAAAAGTTTCTACAGTTTTTAGCATTTGATCTAAGTGAGTTCGAGTGGAAGCCATTAGTTTCAAATCATCCATATACAACAGATGATTAAGCTTCGCCACTACAGTGTTGTTGTTTTTAATGCTAAAACCTGAGTCAGTGGAGTTCAATAGTTGGGATAGTGGGTTCATCGCTAGACAGAACCACAAGGGACTTAGCGAGTCTCCTTGGAAGAGGCCGCGGTTAATTGCGATATTTTCCGTTTCGATATTGTTTTCACCAGGTATTTGGAGGTGAATTTTAGTCTTCCAATCTGTCATTATATGTCTTAAGAAGGTCACTATATTATCATCGACTTTATATATTCTTAATATATTTACCAGCCATTCATGCGGCACTGAGTCAAAGGCTTTCTTGTAGTCAATAAAAGCAGTGAAGAGGTTCCTTTTTTTGGTGTATGCCTGGTTAGAAATGACTGAGTCGATAATAAGTTGTTCTTTGCGACCCATGGAGCCCTTAGCGCATCCTTTCTGTTGAGGTTCTATGATATTGTTTAGAGCGCAATGTTGGTAGATACGCTGGGCTACACAGGATGTGACCAATTTATACAGAGTTGGAAGACACGTAATTGGGCGGTATTTGGCTGGATCTTGGGTGTTATTTTGATCCTTCGGTATTAAATAAGTTGTTCCCTGAGTTAGGAATGATGGTATTTCCTGCGGATTAGAAATAACACGATTAATTAATGTCGACAGGCACTCATGAGCACTCCAGAACTTCTTAAGCCAGAAGTTTTGAACACCATCTGGTCCAGGAGATTTCCAGTTATGAAGCTCTTTGATGATATTAGAGACTTCTTCTGTGGTGAAGGGTTCATAAACAGTTGTGCGGTAGTGTTGACAGCTGTGCGTCGTATCTTCTATCCATCCAGCATTGGTGTTAAGAGCAGCTGGTATGGAAAGTTGATTTCCCCAAAACTCCTGAATGTCTTCTTGGCTTGGGTATGATTTATTGGCACTTTCGACAGTGGAATTAAGTTTACGATAGAACGCCTTCTTGGCATGCTCAAAAAGCGTATTGTCACATTTTCGGCTGTTACTAACTTTGTACCTCCTTAGTCGTCCTGAATAAACGGAGAGTTTTTGTTTTAATGTATCCAGGCACTGATGGGCTGTGATGTTTACTGGATCATATTGCGAGTGTCTTGCAGTACTTAGCATTATTTGATCAGCTCTTTTAATGACTTTTCTACTTGTTGTTCCTCGTATATATTCTGTCATTTGACCAATGTCCCTACGCAGTAATTCAATCTTGTTTAGAAGCCGTTTCTCCCAGGGTGCAGCTCTGTTATCAGTCCTTCCGGCATTGGTACCCCGTCGTGTTCTGATCTTAATTCCCATTATATTAGCTATTGCTGTTGCTGCACAGTAAATAAGCACATGCAAATATTCCAGCGTATGGGCTTCTACGACGTAATTGGGTAGGACTTCAGTATTTATAATTTGTAACAGAGCACCTAGTTTTTTAGAAGAGTTTATTTTTGGTAGCGGTGGTCTGCTAAGTGGATTTGTTCCATTAAACTCTTGTACAGCTCGTTGTTTAAGCTATTATTATTATTATTATTAAGCCATTGACAAAACTCTACTCTTCTATCTTGATAAATCTACTAACAACTCCTGAAAACATTGCAATTTGTAAGCTTGATAGTTTTAAGTTTTTTTTAATAAGTTGACATGTGCCATACGACAAATCTGTTTGTTTAGCCGTGGCGACCTAACTCTTATGGTTAGTCTAATTTTTTACTTTTTTGTTTATGTAAAATTTTAAAAGGTTAAATTCCTGATTTTGGTTCTGAATTCGTGAATATCTGCTCACATTATAATATGCTGTTAAATTTTTTACAATGTTAATATTGAATTTTTTTTTAGAACCAAATGCGAAAGTAATGTTTGGAGAAATTGATTCAATTAAACCAGCAGTCGGTTCATCGGGAAAATACGTCTGTTCCAATTTTAAAGAGGATGAACTAACATTAATATCAATGGAAGAAGATGTACTGACCGAATTCTCACAATTAACTGATTTGGTATGGTTTATACTACTCTCCTTACATATCACTTCTAAAATGCACTAAAGATTGTTATAGTATTTCTCAATCTCTGTCGACGCTCCTTAGTACTGCCTCGTTAGTTTTCATTGCTCCAAGGACCAAGGTGTCTTCAACATCCGTCTATGAATCCGTGACTCGTGTTTTAATGTTTTTTTATAGGCCAGTTAGATTTTACGTTTACCATTTAACGTTAAGAAAAACAAATTGTTGTTGGAATACCGACAAAATGGAGATTATTGCAGAATCTGTTTAAAGTTGTATGTCACCATATTAAAATTTATATACTTTTTAGGTACAGTTATTGTCACTATTTCAAAACAAATCTTTAACTTATGATTATGTACGTAAACTGTAAACTTTCTATTTGAATGATGTGGTAACGTGCTTAAAAATTGGTATGGTAGAACTTTAAGCAAGAGTCAATCATGCCAAGTGGTCCAAAGGTGGATGCTTGACTATTTTTAATATTTTTTATTTTCCTACCTTTTATCCTTTAGTCTATAGACAGTACAAAATTGCATTAGTTGTATTTTTTTTTAATTTATTTTGCCGATGGCGGCCATTTTTGTTTCATCGTGTCGGTCATTTTCATGGAAACAGCTTCACTCTTTAGCCAATATTTTCACTTAGGTTTGTCCTAAAACAATAAATCAAAAACCAAACTGTTTGGAAAAGTATGCTTTAAACAAATGGTTCATAGCATTATTTAATTACAAACTACCCTTAATACTTTAAATTAACCTCAAAGTTTGAAAAGGTAAACTGATAAAATTCCATTTTCAGCATTTTTTTAACAACATAAGGCAAGCTGATAATGGTTTGTAATTTTTTTCTAGAAAAACATACCTACATATTTTAAATGAAAAAAGTTTAAGCTTTGAGATTTACGTCAATTTTTTCAAAAAAAATCTCAAAAATGTAATTTTTTGAAAAATTTCAAAGTTTGAGCCCTTATATCACTGATGGGCAAGCAAGTAAAAATTTGAAATTTGGTTGAATGTTAGTTTCTAATGATTAGAATAAGGGGTAAAAATTTAAAGTTGTAGACTTAAGGCGTATAGGAGTTACAGGCCTGAAAAAATGGCAAAAAATCATTAATTTGAGCGTTTGCGGTAGAGTAATTAAAATTCATATAAAACTGTCTAATGAAATAAAAATTAATGTATTTTCACCAAATTTCACAATAAATACAAATTTATACTACATTATAGAAATATTAACTTTCATTTAGAAGAAAACAGCAGGTTTTCTCTGGAAAAAAAGACTGTGTGTCTGTACGCATCGAAGGAAAGCCAGTCCACAAACAATAATATCTATGCATCATAAGTAACTATCAACAACATAACATTGCCGTAGTTCACTGTTTTCAGAAATATTTCATTGAAAACTTACAAGCTATTGCTCCAGCTGTTAAAAGAGTAATTTATTTTACTGATGGTGCCAGTAGCCAATATAAAAATAAAAAAAATTCTGACTATCTATCATCATGAGCAATATTTTGGTCTACAGGCGGAATGGCACTTTTTTGCAATAGCCCACGGGAAAAATGCATGCGATGGTATCGGCTGCACAACAAAAAGAGAAGTTACTAAAACGTAAAACCAGTTTACAATCAACTTATGTTTGATTTCTGTTCACAGAATTTAAAAGGTATTCAGTATTATTATGTTGAAAGTGAGGAAATCCTACAACATGAATCACAACTTGAAGAGAGATTTATAAGGGTTATTATAAGGGCTAGGGGAAATAAAAACTGTCAGCATTGAACATCATGACTTCTATGTGCACTTTTTTTAACCTTCTAGACCCGGAATATAATTTAAGTGCTCATGATGAAGCTTGGGTGCCTTTTCATAGAATCTTAAAGAAAATCACACCCTCAGAACTAAAAACAGCAACTGGACGCAATCATAACATATCTCAAAATTTATGCGATGAAATATCTCAACTTATGAACTGTCAAAATTCTAAATGAAGGTTAATATTTCTGTAATGTAGTTATAAATTTGTACTTATTGTGAAATTTGGTGAAAATACATTAATTTTTATTTCATTAGACAGTTTATTTAAATTTTAATTACCCTACCGCAAACGCTCAAATTATTGATTTTTTGCCATTATCTGAGGCCTGTAAGTCCAATATGCCTTAAGTAAGTCTACAGGAACTAACATTCAACCAAATTTCAAATTTTTACTTGCTTGGTCATCACAGATATAAGGGCTCAAACTTTAAAATTTTTCTTTTTGAGATTTTTTTTGAAAAAATTTACTTCAAAAAATTTCGAAAAAAAGTCTCAAAGCTCAAACTTTTTTCATTTAAAGTATGTATGTGTGTCTTTTCCAGAAAAAAATTACAAACCATTATCAGCTTGCCTTATTTTGTTTAAAAAATGCTGAAAACGGAATTTTATCAGTTTACCTTTTCAAACTTTGAGAACCATTTAGGTCTTAAGGGTAGTTTGTAATTAAAAAATGCTATGGACCACTTTTTTAGAGCATACTTTTACAAAAAGTTTGGTTTTTGATCTATTGTTCTAGGATAAATCTAAGTTGATAATATTGGCTAAAGAACGAAGTCATGTTTTTCGTGAAAATGATCAACACGATGAAACAAAAATGGCCGTCATCGGCAAAATAAATTTTAAAAAAATAAAATTAATGCAATTGTGTATACTCTATAAACTGAAGTTTAATTGGTAGAAAAATAAAAAATATTAAAAATAGTCAAGCAACCAACTTAATTTATATTGGTGATATTGGACGCATCGTATGGATTGACCCGCAAATGTTCATTATCAATACTGCCGTAATTTTTAAATTAACTGTACCTAAAGATAAAATTATAATTAAAAGCTGCAAACTAGAGATTTTGTTGATGGGATGTTAACGTAAAAAGTTGTCATTTTGATGGTGAGAAATTAGTTCGGCTATCACTTAATAGATGGGAAAATAAGTTCACTTATCATTTAGTAGAAGGCAGCAGTGATGCATTAAATGAGGACAGATGCTCGTTTGTCGAAATTACGAAAAATTTGCAAAACATTGAAAACTAGTTTTGTGGTTATGTTAATTGTCTTAGAGTTATGCAGTAACCATGGTAATCCGAATCACGTGGTTTGCTTTAGCAAAACGGCCCCTCCCAGTTAATATTTTGGCTTCGTTTGACTTTTAATGTTTATCATGATTATATAACGTCACAATGTCTTAAATATACAAGTATACCATTTTTATCCTTGGCACCCTGACGTTATATAATCGTGGTTGAAAGTCAAACTGTGGTCAGTAAAGTTTACTGCGGGTTTACTGCATTATTTAATGTAACCTTGTCAGTGTGCATGATTTAACTTGAAGATATCGTCAATGTTGTAGTTTATTTCTGCACCCCGGAGATAAAGGACACTATGTCCAATGTTATCAAAATTTGGATTATTGCACTTTTAAATATAACTTTTTTGGTTCTACACAAAGATAAACCATACTATGTCCAATGACAACTTTACGACAAGTTCTGGACTTTTTATTAAACACCAAGTCCACTTCTAGTCAGAAGTAAACAACACCATGTGGACTTGGTGTTGTTTACCTCTACTAAATGTGTGCACTGTTATTTACCATCCGGACATAGTGTTATGAACTCTGGTACCTTGTGGAATTGTCATGAACTAAAATGATTGTAACCATTTCATTTAGTTCGCAATAGTGTTAAATTGTTAAAAGTTGTACAATACATCCGTTGTTTAATAACTGCAAACTGAATCCGAACTCTCGTTGGAAAAGAATACTACAATTACTGCCATATAATATTCCTAATGAAACACCTACAGGTAAGCTATTGTTTAATAGCACTGATTTAGTATTTTGCTAACCTCAAATATTTAGTATTGTATATTTTTTTTAACAAATGGATCTTGACGAAGATGATAATTAATTTTGAGATGATGATGCGGATATTGATAAAACCTATGAGCCTATAAGTGGTAAAAGCACAGAATCAGATGACGTGATGTGAGATGTATAGGTAAATCAGCGAAAACAAAGGTAAAAGAGAAAGGTATTACTATTCCTACGACTAGTGGGGCAATAACAAAAAATATTCTTAAGGACGATTTATCCCTAAGCAGTGATGCAAGAAATTACAATTAACATAATGAAGTTACCATGAAATGCTCTGAAAGATTGCCAGAATTCGAAAGACAAAAAATCTTCAACTCATACTGCACTGAGACAAACGTTTCAGATGTTAAAAGCAATTTATCTTCTCATGTGTCGTCATCCAACCTACTCTTCGATTAAGAAAAAGAGACACAAACTCTACCAAATCTAAAAATAATACACTACACTTCAGTCTTACAGTAAAGAGTCAGCGATTGAAGGTGTACAAGATTATGTTTTTAAACACACTTTGTATATCTTATTTAATGCAGTAGTAAATATGTTTAAAAAAAATTGAACCAAAAGCTGATTAAAGAGGTAGACACAAGCCAATCAATAAAACTCCTACCGAAAGCATAAATAGTATACATCAACATATCAATTTATTCCCAAAGTATGAGTCATTATTCCAGAAAAAGGAGCAAGAGAAATTATTTGGGCACAGAACTTACACTAAACAGATGTATTAACTGTACATTGATGAATGCAATGAAAGACATGTGGATCCAAAGCTAAGAGCATAAAAGTGGTTGAAAGCAGATATTTTTATTAAATACTTCAAGTTGTTGTTTAAACCACCCGAAATAGACACTTGCGATATATGCAGTACAGTCACCTCTAAATTGAAAAGAATCTTACTACAGATGAACTAACCAGTCTACAGGCTGATTATGATGCTGACCTAATTGAATCTAAAACTCGGTGTAAATTAAAATAATTGGACTTTATAATGGCTAAAGAGCCACCAAAACACAAAAAACTATCTGGTGAGTTGCAAAAATGTTTGCCTTCACCACTAACAAGCAATTGTATTAGTTTATACA